ACCCTAATCCTACCTGCTTTTCCTGCTTCCCCCTCCCTGATTTCTCCCCCAAACATTCCCCTCTTCCACACCCTAAAGCCCCCATATATAAAGTCCCAGCTCACAACCTGTGGGCTGACATCTTTCCCTGACATCTTTCCCTGCCCTTCCCTGACATCCTTCCCTTCCCTGACATCCTTCCCTTCCCTGACATCTTTCGGTGCCCCGTGTGAAATAAATCTGTATCCCACTGAGAATTCCATCTGTGCCTCGGTGCCTTCCTCCATCCATCCGCTCGTGCTCTCCACTGCGCTCTCGCCAACATTTTTACCTATCAGTAAGGATAACCAGAACCTCCTGTCCCTACCTCCCAAGTGGGGTTATAGATAGGCATGTGTCACCATGCCAGCTTTACTAAGTGAATTTAAGGCCCAGTCTTGATATGCAGTGAAACTGTATTTCACTCTCATGCTCCCTACCCTCAAAATAGAAATAAGAATAGTAACTGTGTTATAGCTCTGCAAACAACAAACTTTTTTCTTTTTATGATACTAGGGATTGAATCCAGGGCTTGTACATCCTAGGCAAATGCTTTATACTACTGAGCTACATGCCTAACTTTGTGTCACCACTAAGGTATACCCTTATTACCACTTTTGAACTTTGGAATTATGGTACTCACATACTGATTTCTTAAATCTTTTTTATCTTTCTTTCTTTCTTTCTTTCTTTCTTTCTTTCTTTCTTTTCTTTTCTTTTCTTTTCTTTTCTTTTTTTTTGGAGACAGATCTCACTGGGTAGCTCAGACTACCCGGAATCTGAAATCCTCCTGTCTCTCTGCTGGGATGGCAGACATGTACTTAGCTTATTTGAGGGCATTTTGTTGTTAAAAACTATTCCAGCCTGAGCATGGTGGCACAGGTTTTTAATCCCAACACTCAGGAGGCAGAAGCAGGTGGATATCTGTGAATTTAAGACTAGCCAGCCTAGTTTACATAGTAAGTTCCAGACCAACCAGGGTTGCATATTAAGACCCTGTCTTAAAAACACAAAAGCAGGGGGCTGGAGAGATGGCTCAGTGGTTAAGAGCACTGACTGCTCTTGCGGAGGACCCGGGTTTGATTCTCAGCACCCAGATGGTGGCTATGATCCATTTTTAACTCCAGTTCCAGGGGATTCCTAAGCCCTCTTCTGACCTCTGCAGCATTGCACAACACAGGTGCACTCACCTACATGCAGGCAATACACTCATACACATAAAATAAAAATAATAAAATATTTTTTTAAAAAAGCAATTTTTAAAAGGTTATTTTCCAAATCTAGTTTGTCATGCTGTAGAGTATTAGAGTGAAACAGTAACATATATATTAACATATATTTGTAAAACACAATGCTATGCAATCAAAATCAAATTATTATACAATGTATACCCTCAAACCAATTTCTAAACTTTACATTGCTAATTATTCAAAAATAGAAAATAGGTTTAGAGTTCTTACAATTGCATCTATGTTTCTGTCGGAAAAATTTATGTGAGTTATTTTCTTCAGGGATTGTGCAATGTTTTGTTCTTTCCGGGGTTTAAGATTGCTGTTTTTGGTGATTAAGTTCAAAGTCAGTCGAACCATGGTTTCTGTATAAGTCAAACTCTCAGCAAAAACTGTTTTGACACCATGTCCAAAAGTAAGTTCAGATTTTATTTTCAACTTTCTGAAAATTAAAGGGAACAAAAAGAGTATTATGACACATAGAAATTTAGGAAAGGTTATTTTGATTTAATATATAAAACTATTTAGTAAGCTAGTCCATTGATGTTTTATGCTATGTGGTATTTTCTAAGTTTATAGACAATTGCTTTTGTTAAAAACATTCAGAACACCAGAATTAATTAAATTAACATTATTTATTTGCTTTTTATTTATTTTTGGATTTTGGTTTTTTAAGATAGATCTTACTATGTAGCCCTGGTTAGCCTGGAACTCTTTGCAGATCAGGCTGACCTTGAACTTACAGCAATCCTCCTGCCTATTTCACGAGTACAGGGATTATAGGCCTGTGCCACCACACGTCTTTTTTTTTTTTTTTTTTTTTTTTTTTTTTTTTTTTTTGTCTGTTTGTTTTGAGAGAGTCTCACCTATGTGGTCCAGACTGGCCTCCAACTTGGGATCCTTTTGCCTCTCCCCCAGTCCTGGGATGAAACACCTGTGCCACCACCCCTTATTTTCACTTCTACATCTTCCTACCCCAGAGCAGTGATGAATTGTTATGTGGGCTCCTCTTCCTTTTCCCTCTCTGAGTTTTTCTTTTGTTTTCAGTGCTGGGATAGAATCCAGGGATTACTACATGCTAGGAATCACTTTACCATCAAACTACATCCTCAGCCCCCTGTGGAGTGCATCTTTTAAAGGATCATTTATTTTTGAGCAAAAAAGGACCTCAAGGAAAATTGTCCAATGTTCTCATTTTGTAGGTGGAGTAATTATTAGTCCCAGAGAGTTATTTCAAGCTTTTCAAATGGTATCAGGAGAACGGTGAGAATGGGGCCAGGTCTCTGGCTCCTTACCTCATAGTAACCACAGTAATGATATCTACAAACCAGAACACATGGTGCAAACCTTGAGTTACACATGGGATGGTACAGGACACTCTCAGTGGAGTATACCTAGAGATTTTTATCTTATGCTACTACAATCATAATCCAGGAAAAGTCATCTTAATACAGTATTTCTTAATCCAGATTGCCAGGTTCAAATTTTGGCTTCACTGCCTACTGGAAAGGCAATCTTAAAAGTATTTTATAAACTATAGTAAAGGCAAGGGGTATACATGAATGAAACCCTAGGTTTGATCCCAAGCAACACAAAAATAAATTATAAATAAAATTAAAAACTAAACAAGGTATGTGGGGGGAGCTCAATCTCCACCCCTCCCTGAGGATGTATAGGCAGTTAACAGTAAGTAGCTAGGGAAGAAGGACTCAGGAAGCCCCATCTTTCTCTGAGGATCTATAGGCTGGTCATGGTTTCTGGGGGAGGGACATTTTCTTTGGTGATGTAGTAGCCACTGCTAAGGTGTCCATGCTCCTGTAAATAATCTTTCACCCATGCTTCTGTAAGCAAATCTAATGAAACTCATTGGGAAAAAAAAAGAAAAGAAAAAAGACTGAAAGTAGAATAAGGACTAATTGGGAAGGTGAGAGGGATCAGTAGGAGGAAGAAAGGAAAGGGCAATGGGGAGGGGAATATGATCAAAATACATTATATACATGCATTAAAATATAATGAAAGTCTTATTCATATAGAATTAATATATGCTCCTAGAAAAAAAAACTTAAGAGACTGTTGGCAGTGGTGCTACCTATAGTCCAGCTACTTGGGAGTCTGAGGCAGGAGGAGTTTTGAGTCTAGGAGTTTGAGGCCAGGCAGGTCAATATGTGAGAGCCTGTCTCAAAATCACTACAAGAATAAGGGTACCTACTTCCAAGGGATACTGTCGAGATGCATGAAGGCATGTCCAGCCTAGTGTGGAGATGTGCACAGGATGTCTACCTGGGGCCCTCGGGCTGCACGCACTGCACAACAGCTCTGAATATGAATCAACACAAAACAATAAACTTACTTAAAACATTATTTTTTTAAAATATTTATTAGTTTTATCTATTTTATGTGTATGAGTGTATTGCCTGCATATATGTAAGTGCACCCATGTCATGCTGTGTTCACATAAGTCAGAAGAGGGTGGCAAATTCATTGTAACTGGAGTTACAGAAGGTTGTTAGCTGCCATGTGGGTGCTGGGAACAGAACCCAGGTCCTCTGCAAGAGCAATCAGTGCTCTTAACAACTGAGCCATTTCTCCAGCCCCTTAAAACATGAGATCTTCTTTTTTTTGTCTTTTTGAAGCAGGGTCTCCCTGTAGCCCCAGCTGTCCTGGAGCTCACTACGTAGACCAGGCTGGCCTTGAACTCACAGAGATCCGCCTGCCTCTGCCTCTCAAGTGCTGGGACTACAGGCAGGCATGCGCCACCATGCCCGGCAATGAGATCTTCTTTTTGTGACTCAGTTGTGTGGTTCTCAAGTGTAAACTTTGTAGATGACATCTTGTTGAGACAACAAAAGGATGGACATGTCCTTGAGTGTTCTGTGCCTGGTATCAGTCAATAAATATTAGCTATCACCATCATTATTATTCTATTGCTGTTTTGTTCAGAGATAAAGTTATCTTCACCATTCTACCTTGAAAGATATCAGGGGGGCATAATAAATGATTAAAAAGGGAGCCATATTAAATGAATATTAAATATTAGATATATAGAATATTACTTTATATGTTATCCATATGCTTTCCATAAG